GCGACCGCCCGCGCGCCCGCGACGCCCGCGACGCCGCGCGCGCGCGAGAGACCGTCCTCGAGCGACGACGCACCGAAAACGCCGGAACGATCGACCGCGACGTCGCCGATCAAGGGCGCGCCGGTGCGCGTGCCGGCGAGCGTGCGATCGGTGTACAGACGCATCGATAAGAAGACGTTCTTAGATTGGGGATTGACGAGCGATTGGAGCGTGGATGGACCGCGGAAGCGACGGTCGATCGGGGGCGACGGCGATCGGACGGAGGAGGCGAGCGGAGCGGCGACGGCGAAACGGATCAAGGTGGAGACGGAGGAAGAGGATGGGAACGCGGCGAGTGAAGGGTACGGTGAGATGACGGAGGGATCGATCGAGAAGTTGTTCTTGTTGTTGAGAGAACTGTCGAGCGCGGAGTTGGACGCGCCGTTGCCGGTGCGGACGCCGGTCAAGGGAGAATCGAGCGTCGACGCGTGGTCGGGACTGGACTTATGCGAAGAGAGCACGTTCATCGACGTCGGGAGCGGGTACGGGAAGGTGGTTTTCCACGCCGCGCTCTCGGCGAAGGTTTCAAAGGCGGTCGGGATCGAGTACGTGCCGTCTCGAGCGCAGAAGGCGTCGGAGGTGCAAGCCGAGCTCATGGACGAGACGAGAGCGCTCATGACGGAGGAAGCTCGCGAGCTCGTGTCGCCGCCGCGGTGCGTTCTCGAACAAGGCGATGCCACCACGTACGGCGCGCTGAACTACACACATATTTACATGTACGACCGCGTGTTCAACGAGAAGACACTAGAGCTCTTGGCCAAGCAGCTCAACCGCTCCAAGTATCGCGTGTTGGTCACGTACCAACGGGTCGAGCTCTGGCGCCGTCTCGGCCTGCGTGACTTTGAACACGTGCACTCGTTCACGATGCGCACGACGGGTGGACAAAACTTCAAGGCGTACGTGTTCGTGCGATTGAACGCCTGAGGAGCGAGCTGAGCAACACGACGCGGGATACACGAAACATGCTTGCTGATCTTAGACGATGTAACAATGGTTCTCAATCAAATATACTGTGAATTCGTCACGCCATGGTGATATCTTCTACGCCGAGCTCATCCGTCTCCGCCTTCAACTTGAGCTCCGCTTTGTAAGCTCGAAGCGCCTCGAGCCCGTCTTCCAACACCTTGACGGTTTCTGCATCATCCTTTGCCTTGTATTCTCGAATGAGGGCCTTCAACTCGGTCTCCGTCGCCAACTTGCGCTCCGCTATAGATTTCTTACGTGGCAAACGATTACGAAGCATTTCTTCCATGTTCTTCGCTTCTTCCTCGGACATACCAGCCGCCAAGGCGTTCTCAAACGCGGCGTCTGGCGCCGCTTCGATTTGCTCCTGTTGCCAGTTCGCCAGCCATTCTTCGTCCCAGACGACGCTCGGGCCTTCGGGCTTGTAGTCCGCCGGTAGGATTTCCGCGTCTTCCGGAATGACAACACATCCTAGCGGGATCTTAATGCGCACCTCCGTGGCCTCAACGGTGGCCACGGCGCCGCCGTTGCGCAAGTACACCTGGATCCCTGTCGTAAAAACGTTGTTCCAGAACCAGTACAGCGCCAACCCCGCCGGAACGGTGAGCGAAATGTAACCGATGAAGAACGGCAACAATTTCAACAACACCGACTGATTTTGCATCTCTTTCGTCTTTTCATCCTCCTCCGGTTTCAACACCTCCATGCTGACGAACTGCGAGAGCGTCGTCATGATTGGAAACAGCAAATATAGCGAAGCGTCGTCCCAACCGATCGGCGGCGCCAGGTCCGCGTCGAGCGGGAGTAACCAACTAAGATCTCTCGCGTCCGTAGGTCCTGCGAGAGACGGAAGGAAAAACCAAGGCTCATCGAACGCTCCGTCGATGCCGGCGTTGTTAAACGCCCTGTACAAACCCGCGAGCACGGGGAACGACAGCAGCGCTGGACCGCAGCCGGCGAGCGGATTTACACCGTTCTCCTCGTACACGCGATTGATCTCTTTGTTCATTCGCTCCTGGTCGTCCTCATACTTCTCGCGAATCGCCGCGATCTGTGGCTGCAAGTTCTTCATGTTGAGCGAGCTCACCACTTGATCCTTTGTCAGCGGATACGTCACCATCTTCACCAAAATCGTGACGATGATGATCGCGTTCCCCGTCGGATACGGCACCCCGAGATCTAATAATTGACCCTTGATCGTGAATAATAAATCCTCCAGCGCATTCGAGACCGGGGCGAGCCAACCCTCCATGCGCTGCGGCGCCTGTATCTCTCCGCTCGCAATCTTCGCCGCGCGCTCCTCCGCCTGCACCGCCATCATCGCGTCCCGCATCGACGACCCACCATCGACCGCAATCGCCCCATCACTCACATCGAACACCCGTTCGACCGTCGATCGAACGTGTCCAACGAATTCCATCGCCGACCCGTCCGCCAGGTCGAACGCGCCGCGCGCGTGCCCCGGCGCGTTCATCGCCACCATCCGCGCCGCATCCAGCGCGTGCGCCGCGTCACCGACCCCCACGCCATCGAACGCGCGCGCGCGCGTCCGTCGCCGTCGCCAGAGCGCGCGTCGACGCGCCCACGACCCGACGCCCGAGGTCCTCGCGCGCGCGTCGCTCGATCGTCCCGACGCCGTGTCCGTGGTTCCCGT